ATTATATATGTATATACATATATATAAATATATCTACGTATATATACGTATATATATATGTCTTTATACATGTATATATGTATATAAATGTACATATACATATATACATATATATATATAAACTGTATATAAAATAATATCTATATTTATATATATATATAAATATATATATATGTATACATACATACATATATATATATATATTATATTATTAATATAATATAATATATATATATATATATATATATATACATATATATTAGTACACTCTCACCTCGGAAGACATCCCCAAAGTTACCGCTGCCAATCTTCTCCAGAGACACGAATTGGTCGCGTTCAATCCACCCGTCAATGGTTTGCACAGCTTCAAACAGCAGATGCGCCTCATCGGTGTCACCTTCCACCCAGTGTGCTTTCTATGATGTGTAGGTAAGTGTGTTAGCTTTCTATGATATGTAGGTAAGTGTGTTAGCTGTCTATGATGTAAAGGTAAGTGTGTTAGCTTTCTATGATGTGTAGGTTAGTGTGTAAGCTTTCTATGATGTATAGGTAACCGAGTTAGCTTTCCATGTATAGATAAGTATGTAAATAGTATATGTACATCACGTATACAACGGGTTATATCTCTGGGGCAATGTGTAGATACACAGAGCAATACGGCCCACAACGCAGCATAGACTGACACTACACACACCACAATCACAGCCACTGCAATGCTTAAGGTAAAAGAAGTACACGCGCATGCCCATTTTACCTACACACACCACAGACCATACACACCACACCACACACCACACACCACATACACCACATACACCACACACCACATACACCACACACCACATACACCACACACCACATACACCACACACCACATACACCACACACCACACACACCACATACACCACAGACCACAGACCACAGACCACACACTTTCTTAATCTCACTCAGCTGTCTTTCGTAGTGCACGCGTTTCTTGCGGTACAGACACAGAAACAGCGCCAGCAACACAGTGGAGATGACTACCACTGACACCACAATGACCGCTGCTGTGATGCCTGGGTTGATGGTGCCCTGGCCCATCTGCCCACCCGTGGATGACCCAGGGATGCTGGTCTCATAGGCTATCTCTGGTAGTGTTAGGGTATAGGGTTTAGGTATGTTTCGGGATGCTGGTCCGATTTTAGGCTATCTCTGGAGAGAGGTATAGGGGATGTGGGATGTGATGGTAGGGTTAGGGTGTAGGGTTTAAGAATCCTTATCTGTTGATGCTATATATAATGCCTGATGTGTGTTGGGGTTTAGGGTGTTAGGATTTGGGGATTTAGGATTTAGGGTATAGGGTTGAGATGATTTGCCAAGACAGTCGCACTGATATGATAGAGTCGCATCCATAAGCAAGAAGGGTTTAGGGTTTACGAGTGTGTGTACGAGTGTGTGTACCAATTACAGCATGACGAGTGTGTGTACCAATTACAGTATGACGAGTGTGTGTACCAATTACAGCACACACTGTCACTTGGATGTCACACGAACACACACATACATATTTACACACACACGAACATACCTACACATACATGAACATACCTACACCCACATAAACATACCTACACTTACATGAACATACCTACACACACATGAACATACCTACACACACATGAACATACCTACACACACATGAACATATCTACACACATGAACATACCTACACACACGCCCTCCTGGTTGGGGAGGAAGCTCTCTTGACAGATGAGACATGTGCGTGCATTGCAGGAGATGCACCGCTCATCCCACAGAGTACATGGCAGACACGTGTTCTTACCAACCAAGTAAGCACCAGTGTCACAGGAACACTGTAACAGGTGGGAAAGCAAGTGGAGACGAATGTGTAAGAGTTAACATTGGTGCACCGTATATATAAATATATATATATATATATGTATG